GAAATAGATTAGGTCACGTTAGACTTTGATCAAATTAGCCTGAGTCTGTGTGATAAATCGAATGCTTAAGCATGACTTAAAACTTGGATAAAGTTTTTTTCATAACTCAAGCTTAAGCCTACCTCAAGTCTGGCATGGTTTTAAAGTCTATTTAAAAACTTAATTAAAAGTAAGTGTTTTAAACAGGCTCACATTTTAGTTTTAAACTTCTCTAACATTTCTTTCATTAAAAAATGTAAGATATTTTTTAAGAGATTAGATGTTTAAAAATATAAGGTATTTTTAATCTTTTAAAGTGTAATCATTACCTTTTTTTCAAAAGTATCCCTACTAAATAAATCACTTTATATTTATTATAAGGCGAGACATCCTATTAAATAGGGGTAAATATAAAAAGATATGGTTAGTTTGAAGACAAGTAATTATTTTATTGGGGTAAGATTCAATTAAAAATGTTTTATATTTTTGAACGGAGTAAGTATACTTTAAAACTATTATAATATATAATATATAACTTAATTTATCAATTACAATATATAATAACTGAAAAAAACTTACTAACTACAATAATAATATCAATAAAGTAATACATTAAAATTAATATATAAGTTTAATATGATTGAAAATATAATTAAAATTAAAAAATTAATTAAAAAATTAAATAATAAAATTGATGTGTTTGCAATATATTATAATATATATGTGCGTGTATAAATATATAGGCTGACTTGTTAAACTTGTAAGTTAAGTCTTAAAAAAAAAATCTAATCTATTTAATTAAATAATTTCTGTTAGAAGCCTGACTTTTTTAAGAATTTTGCCCTTGCCTATTCTCACACCTAATCGATTCTCTTCTCCACACCTTTTATATTTTTCCCAAAAAAGAGAGACTATGGTGAAGTCATTATAATTAATCTCCTCCTGATTTTCAAATAATTATTACTCTCACAATCTAAGGGAGGATCGAATAAAATCCAACGACAAACATCAAGGCTACATATAGTTAATTACAATCCAGCAAGCGGCCATCTTGATGCATGTGAATGGAGCACTTGCCGACACTTTCCCTTTTGCAAAAATTTATGTAAGACGTGTAAATTTTATCTTTCTTTCTTTCTTTCTTTTTTTTAAAAATATGGTTGACTTTTTTTTCGCCATCCCCACCACGAGTGACAGTTCTAGAGGTTAACTCTTGAAAGGTTAGCAATGGATCACTTTCCATTTAAAGAAAAAAAAACACAAAACACTCTTGAGAGGCCAAAGAATTTGTGAAAGTGGGGGCCAAAATTACTTTTAGTATTTTTTTCAAAATTAAAATAAACAAAGTTTATAATCAAATATTTAACTCTTCAAAGATCTATGTCTAACAGCCAAGGAGGGAGAGCCCATCCTGGCCCCTCGCCAAGAGACAATCTTGATCCACGATGGACCTACACACACGCATATATATCTTAGTGGGGCAGCTGTTCCCATAATTTCTTTTAAATTTCTTTAATAAATATATTTGTAGCGTGTGCTTGTATCTCATACTCTAATCTCATAATTGGTTACAGTGAGTGAGTGATAATATTATTTTCTTATGCCATCTATTTTTTTTATGTAAAGTATAACAATTGTTATTGTAGGCAATTTTTTGAACAATGATAATGGGTGTAGTTGTTAAACTTTTGAGTTAACTCTTTAAATTTAACTTTTTTATATTTCTAACTTACATAACTATGTCAATTTACTCATCAACTTAAAGTAATATAAACTTAGTTAAAATTTGTGAGTTTAACTCCACACTTATCATTTTTATGATTCTAACATGTAAAATCATATTGACTAATTTATAAACTTAAATTAGATATAAATTTTATTGAATTTATTAAACTTATCAAATTTTTTACCGATTTAATCAAGCTAAGCATATATTGCATAAAATTTGATTTATAGAAGTGATAGGACCTAATTTAAATAAAAAAACTTAAAAAACAAAAAATAATATTAATAAAAATAAAAAATATCAAAATAAGTTACTCTATTTTTAAGTTTTGTAAGACAATTTATCAATATAAATAAATTTAATTTTAATAATTTATATTTAAAATATATTTAAATTATTATATAATCATATACTTTTAATAAATATTTATTAAAAATAAACTCTTATTAATTTACAATTTAAATTTGCCACCTAAATTTATATTTCTGTCACAATTTACTTCTTTTTTTTTTTTTTTGAGCCAAACTGTCACAATTTACTTCAATTCGCAGGTTTGACAACTTTAATAATGGGGTCCATTTTTTGTTTATGGTCAAAAAGAAAAGGAAAGTGGAAAATAGCAAAATTGGTGGAAAAAAATATTAGTAATGACATGGTATTTGCATGCAGATAAAAATATTTTAATAAATAATAAAAAACTGAATGTGGGACCCTTAATAAATCATCAATTATGTTGTAAAGTAACAAACGACAATTTTTTGAACAGTGATAATCGGGCCCATTTTTATTTATGGTCAGAAAAAGAAAAGAGAGAGTGTGGAAAAAAGAAAATCGGTGAGAAAAATATGAGGAAGAAACATTAGTATGTAGATAAACAATACTTTAATAAATAAAAAAAACTGAGTGTGGAACCCTTAATAAAATAAAAAATTTAATTTATAAGAATAATCACGCGGTGTGAATTTTAATTCAGACAAAATAACAAATTATATTTTAAGATGAATTGTTCCTTGCATTTTTAATATGTGCTAGTAAATAAATTATCTATATTTTTGATATGTACCAAAATAATAAATTGAAAAAAACAAGACGTTTATTAAAATAATTTTTTAATAAATGAAGCATATGATATAATAAGTTATATATGAAATGAAATGTCTAGCTTTCAAATGGGCATGACGTAAAAATTAGAGATGATTTTACACCTGCCCCACAAATTTTTCCATCCTTTGTAAATTAACATGGCACCCTTAAATTTAGGGTTCAAAAAATAAAATTCATAGAATTTTGCCCCTAACGATTTACCAAATGAAATTTTTTTGAACATTGCTGAATGAAAACTTTGGCCTCCATGAATAAATCATAGCTTTGTGCTTGGTTAAAATTACTCTCTTCATATCAAATCATAAAATACTTTTAAACAAAATTTTAAATATCAAGTATTTAAAAAAATTACGGGAAAATAAGGCATATTGCTATATTGTTAGCATGCAAAAGAGTAACAAATATTTTAAAAAAAACAAATTCAACTTACACAAGTTTTAGAAAGGTAGAGTTTGAAATATTAATTTATAAAAAAATAAGTATTTTTATAATATAATAATCTGTTACTTTATTTTTATGAATACCAAGTACTAAATTATAGAATAAAATAAATTTTTATTTGTATTTAAAGTATGTAGAAGAGTGATAAAATTTAAATAATAATAAATTATTATTTAAAATTATGATATAAGGGATGTATATGGTAATAAATCTTGGATTTGGATTCAGTGAATGTATTTAATATAGGTATTGAGTACCTATACTATCTGAATTGTTGAAATTCACATTAACAATTCAAATAAACTCACTCATTCATTAATCTCAAATGTAGTATAAATTTATCGTCATTGATTTAAATCTTAACAGTTTAAATGGTATAGGTATAGGCCACTCAGTGTCTATATTAAATAGAGTTGTCAAATCTAAATTTACATAAATCTTTCTTTTCTTCTTATATTGTAAAGTGCATCATTCTATCACTATAGATCCACAGTTTCCTAACCAGTGTATTCCCCTATTACCCTTTAATCAAAAAATAAAATGAAAACTAACATAAAATTCAGTCCTCTGCCAAAAACTAAGAAAAATTAAGGAAAAAAGAAATCCAGGTATCAAAATAAAAAACAGCTACCAAGATTAAATTTAAATCAGACTTAAAGGACAAAAAATCCAAAAATAATAAAAAAATCAGGACTAAAACAAGACAACAAAAAAACCTAACATTAAACAATCAGAAATAAAATCAAAATAAAAATGGAAAACTTAAGAGTATAGCATATCCCAAGTAAAACAAAAAACAAAATAGGAGCACAAAATATTCTTATCAATGCACAAAACATCAATAAATTGATAAAGAAAAGAAATAAAGAAGAAGATGAAATGAAAATTTAAAACAAAAAATGCAGAATCTTGATATCCAGTCTCAACAAAAATATGATGGGAAGGGAAGAGCACATGTGATGCAATAGGGGAGTTCGATGAGCAGATCGGAGCCAACAGCAGAGGTTTAACAGTAGATCCGAGTCGATGGGACATAGATTCATATACAAGGAAAGGACAATGGAATCAAAGTGAAAGAGAAATGGAGAAAGGACGAAGGAAAAGTTTGAGAAGGTGAGGTTGGGAGATCCAGATCCTCTCAGAGGCATTTTCCCTCAACGTGTCAACCTTAAATCTTTAATAAATATTCAATGTCTCATATTTTGTCACATTATCCTATGTAAAATAATTTTGTTAACCCAATCTAAGAATTGAAATACAAGTGTATGGTGAATGAGATCAGTAGTAATTATTAGTCCTTCAACTTCAAAGATGCCTCTCAACTCTACTGACTTAATATCAGTTTCTTTTTTAAAAGTTCATGTTGTTGATGGCATGAAACGCGAAATCCCAACATTGCCTCAATTTAACGTAGTTTCAGATTGTCTTGTTTTACTGTTAGGCTCAAATATTGAGAAAAGGGCCCACTACATCAAATTGTAGGCCTCACCCATTTATCATGTTGGCCCCAAAAAAAAAAACATTCATCATTTCAATCTGCTTTTCAATAAAAGTTCAACGTAACATTTATTATTAATATCCTTCCTATTTTACGGGAGGAAAAGTTGAAATATTTTAAATTTAATTTAATGAGGTAATCATCCTTTCTTAATTGTAATGAGATGATTGAACGAAAAACATAAATCAACTAAAATTGCAGGATGATCAAATAACTAAAAAACATCACATGAAAGGTCCTTCAAGTGAATATTAGCCTCATAATTGCAGGAGGACAGCAAGGCTTAGATATAAGCCATTCAGTCCCCAAGGAAATATGATATTTTGCTGACTGATTTCATCATTGGCTATTTACATACAGAATGACACGAAGCATATTTAATCATGAAACAAGATTAACCAACAAATTAAATGTCGTCTATGAACAGAACACAACAAACTAGGTTGGCAGAAATTAAACATTAAAATGTAGAAAAAGCTATAAATAAATAAATAAATGTATGTCATGGGCAGCCCCAAGAGGTAATGGCAGCAAATCTGCTCTACAAGGACAGCATAAGGGACATCCAACGAAGGAGCTCCTAAAGGAAGGAGAACCATCAACGTCAGAGTAAATTTATATGTGATGTTTTACTTGGAACCATGCAAACACAGCAAGTTTGCCTCCAATCGTAGTAAAACATCTCAGCACTTATACAAATGTGATGCAATAAATTGCGAGGCTCAAAACATACATACATACATACATATATCAGGTATAACATCATCTCAGAATTGCAGAATAACAGCAAAGAAATAAATGACACTATTACCTAGATTCATTACCTAGAAACATGACCCAATCTACTGGAGGAATTCCATCACTGAAAGAACGAAAATTTCAGAAATCTGAAAGACTATATCTGGCAAGTGAAGTGATATATCGTCATTGGGTAAAAGCGAAATATCAGACTTACGTCTCAAGGCATATTCAAAAAACGGACACTATTATGACACGATCAAAAACCAAGCATATATATTGAACAAACCTTAAGAAAAGTAGTCTTGTCTCTCATGCCAGTCCCACAAAAAGCAATCACAGCATTGAGTCATGATCTGTCAACATCGATGATTTTCTTAATTGCGACGTTAACTTGGGAAATCGGAAAACACAAAGCAATAATCTGTAACTACAAATTGAATAGGGAGTCGGTAATTACCTCAATCACTTCTCATTCCGAGGAGGAAGAGACCGAAGAGAAATTTTGAAGTCTGATATTACAGAAGCTTTTGCGTCGCCCTAAAGAAGAGAGGTGCGAATATTTATAGTATATTACTAACTAGGGTTTGGCCTTTTTTTTTAAATATTTTATAAATAGTGAAACGACTGGAGTTTTGGCGGCTGAATTGGCAAAAGATAAAAACCTAATAAAATAGTGGTTTTTTTGGTACATAATAAAATATTAGTTTTTGCTTGCTGAGGTTGTTTCTGTGGGTCCAACACTTATGTGAGTTGTTATATTCCTTTTTCAAAAAGGCATTAAATTTTATTTCCAACGAAAAAAATAACAATTTGAGTAAATGTGAGTTATTTTAAAAAGATAAATTAAAATTTAAAAAAATTAAAGAGGGAAACATTAAAAAATGAAAATGAGAATAAAAATAATTAAGAGAGAAAATATCAAAATATAAAAGTTAAAACAACATCATTATATATTATATAAAAAAGAGATAATTGTGAAAAAGAAAACAGAGAGAGTAGGGGAAAAAACAAAGCCATTTATCTTCCTCCAAATTGCAAGCATGCACCAAGTATGTAAAATTAAGTATATAATTTTTTTAAATAATGATATTATTATTATTTTGGAGTATCGATCTATATAAATAATTTGAAGGTAAAAAAAAACTATATGAATAATATAGAATGACATTGATGACTCTTTTGAAGCACATGATATCTTTCCTTCAATTTAAGTTACTTTCTTTTCTAGACAGCAATTTCAATCATCTATACCGATATATCTATATATGTGCTTATTTAAATTTTAGTTGAATATAATAGATTATAAAAATAATTAATTAAATGATAGATTTCAATCATTATTAATTACATTATAATGCATTTTGCTGGATACTGTTTTTCTAAAATTAATTTTAATAAAATAAAAAATATTTGGATAATTTATTCAGAATTAATTTTAGCTGTATAAATTATCATAGAGGACATTGCCTTTCAAAAATAAATTTTTATATAATATTTAAAAATTAAAATATATTATTTAAATTATATATCTGATTAATTATAAAAATTTAAATTATATTAATATTAATAATTTTAATTTACATAAATAAATAACTCAATACTCCCTCCGTTCAAAAATGTAAGGCATTTTTGAGGAGTTAGATGTTAAAAAATATGAGATATTTTTAGTCTTTCGAGATGTAATCATTATATTTTTTAAAAAATACCCCTATTGATAATGACTTTATATTTATTATCGGGTGTTTAATGAGGGTAAATATAAAAAGATAAGGTTCATTGAAAAGTACGTAACTACTTTATTGAGAGGTGAGATTCAATTAAAAATACTTTATATTTTTGAACGAAGGAAGTATATCTTAGTTCAAATAAATTTAATAAAAGAGAAAGATTTAATTCTTAAATACCGAACATTAATTTTACAATAATTAATGAAGATAATAATGTGCAAGTTAATCTCTAATAATATTACAAATATAAGTCATATCTAATGAAGATGTTAAGCATTGCTTAAAAATTTTGGCAACATAAAAAATATAGCAATGTAACAAATGATGCAAAATCGCTCTCTCTGGATCTTTGCAACAATATTTGTAATGACCTTCAATTTTAAATTAAATTAAATTAATTTTCATCTATCAATTAATATTTTATTTAAATTAATTTTATAGCAAGTGCTAAATAAAAGATGGTGATTGATAGGAACTTATATTAATAACTTTTTTGAAGATTCAAAATTTGAATTTTACTAATAAAAAATATAAGAGAAGAGAGTTTGACTTTAATTTTATTAAATTTTGTGCCTTTTTTATAATTTTTTTATTAAGCCTTTCTTGTAATTTTTCCATTTCTTTGAACAATGCAACGTAGAGGCTGACTTTGGCAGCTTTGAGCAAAAATCAATTTTTTGGATAAACAGGTGTTTGGATAATTTTAACAAAAATTAATTTTTTCTCAAATAATCGACTAAAAATGCTATCCAAACAAACCCTATATCTAAATAAAATCAGGAACCTAAAGCACATGTGGCAACATATTATGAAGCCATGTCAACTCTACCTTTATCTCCCGTAACGACACGTGGATGCTGGAATATAATTCTGCACAAATAAAATTTAATTTATCCAGGAAATTAAGTTTTCTATTTCTTCCGTTAATTAAGGCTTAATTTTTTCTTTATCTCCTCTATTGACAAGTGGAAGGTTGAACAATTTTTCAATAAAATATTTTTAGATGCAATCAAATAATTCATGATTTGATTATTTAATTTATGAAAAGTATAGTCATTCTATTTATGGAAATTGAAATCGTGCATTGAATTAATTTATGGAAATAACTATATATAATTAACACTATGAAGGGAATAAGTTGGTGGCTTTTGCTCAAAAAAAAAAAGTTGGTGGCATAGTATATAGTCATTCTATTTATGAAAATTGAAATCATGCCATGAATTAATTTATGGAAATTGAGAGAAACTTTTTTTATTTTATTTTTGTGAGTACAAGTCACTAGAGATTGCCATTATAAAAACTTTTTGAAATAATTTTCATTATTACCTTGACTTTATTGAATTTGTTAATTGATTTATAGTTGGCATGATTGATTTTGTTTTTGAATGTTGATATATAAAATAATTCATATATCATTATTAACACACCAATTTGTGGGCTGCATGAATAAATTATTATTGCTAAATCATTAAGTTATATAGCCGTTTGAATTGCCTTAAAAAATTCTATGATTGCTATATATATATATATATATATATATAAACAGATAGATGGATACATAGTGTAGGTGCATTTGCATATTCTCTTCAACCCTTTATCGCGATCGAACGGTAGCCCTCTATTGGGATCATACAGCTGGTGATGACTAGAACTAAAAGGCTGACTTCCATTGAGATTGGATTATCGGCACTACCTGGGAATTGATCGCCCATGTCGACCAAGATCGGAGTATAGGTGATGATATCGGGATCAGATGACTGACTTTCACATAGATTGCATTGTTGAAATTGACCTAGACTAGAGTGTAGGCAAAGACTGAAATTAGACTACTGGCATCGACTGGGATTGGAGTGTAGGCAATGATTAAGACCAAATTGTAAACTTTTACTTAGACCAAACTGCCGACATTGAGAAGCCTTTTATCTTAAACTAATCCAATCTCAATTGGCATTGGCGATCCTGTCCTAGCTGGCGCTAGCAATCTTGCCCTGGTCAATGCTAGCAATCTGATCTCTATGGAAATTGATTGTTTAGTCTTGGACAAGGTCACTAGTTTGGTCCCTATCAAAGTTGTCAGTCCAAATCATGGCAGGATCCGACCATTTAATCTCCGTTGATATCAGCGGTACGATCCCAGTAGAAGTCTGCCGTCTAATCCTAGTCGGCGGCTCGATCCTATTGGCCATTAGCAATTTGGTCATGTTCGAAGCCAACAATGGGCTAGTCAAATTACGAAAATGTTGAGGTAAAATTTGAAATAATAGAAGTTTAGAAAAGATTTCAAATTATAAATAGATTGAGGTAGAACTTAGATTTAAACTTGTGTCAAATCCAAATCTATACATTCTTAATTACCTAAATAATGAATTTAGCTCAAGTTAGAATCCTTATGCTAACAAAATGTATTATTAATAAATCACTAACAAATATCAGTCTAAAATTTATAAAGTTGACCTATAATCCACAAGGTTGTGGGATCAAATCCCATTGCCGATCTATGAGTGTTATTTGAGACTAGTATGCTCTAGCCATGGTAAGTTCAAGAACCCAAAACTCACCTAAACTTTTTTATTTGCAAGGTCCATATTTAAAGTTTTAATTTTTTATTTTGATAAATACAATATTTAAAAATAAAATATATATAATATTTTAACTATAATTTGTAAAAAATATGTTTTAAAAAATTATAAGTTAAAAATTTTAAATTTAGATCATACAAAATACATCTAGATAGTCAATATACAAAAAATTTAATATTAAATTGGACTCTTCAAATTAAATATAGACTAGATTAGTCATAAAAAATTTATTAAAACTTTTTTTATAATTTTTATAAATTTTTATTTTAAAAAATATAAAATAAAAATATTAAATTAATTCT